CAGGAACTGGGGGACTTTTGATGGCAGAAATTTTGAGGTAGCATTTTTGTTGAACCAGGATGGTTCAGTAATAGCAGAAGATGCAGAAATAGCCAGAAGAACATAAAGTCAACTGAAATAAAATCCAGAAGGTTAAAGTAGCACACAAAGATTTTACAGATAGGTCTCAGCGATGACTTGCAATGACAGATGAAACCTCAGTGAAACTTGCTGGCTGTTGGGAAAGGATTCTTTAAAAAGGCTGTAAATACATAGCCCAGCTTGCACCTAGAGCTGACATCTGCTTCCCAGTCCCACTGAAAGCCTCGGTCCAAGCACTCTGGTTCATGTTCCAACTTTGGACTAACTGTTGTAGCACTGAGTGTCCCTGTTTGTCCCTGCAGTATCCCAGTGGGCTCTATGAGGGCTTTTTTAAGTTTGCCAGTTTGACTTTCTCTCTGGCCGTGTATAATCCAGTCTGCCTGGCAGTTTGAAAGTGAACACCTCCAGTGTCATGAGTACATTAAACCACACAGAGTGGCAGGATGTGGACGTTGGTTTGATGAAGGCTTCTCACTTGGGCACTTGGCTTTGCAGCTGCTGTGCAGTCTGCTCCCCACAGACTCCTGTGATAAGCTACAGGGTCTCCTGTTTCTTTATTGTTGAACATTGTTCCTATACTGTAGCCATTTTCATTTGATTCTACTGTGATCTGCAAACATGCTGACAGCTTCAGGAAACCAAGCAATAATGTGCTTTCATTTTACAACTGCCTTTGTTCTAGGCTGCCGTTCTTTAAATACTGCTACCAGTGCGGACGTTCGGTGGGTGTTCAGCTGTCGCCTTGTGTGCGTTGTCACGAAGTCTTCACCTGCAGTGAGGCTTGCAGAAGGAAATCCTGGAACGAGCGGCACAGGCAGGAGTGCTCGGGATTGCTGGGTGAGTCTGTTATTGTGTGTGAATGCAGTGGTTTGTGCTTCTGTACCGACCTGGGTATGTAATGAACCAGTAAAATGTGTTTTACAAAATAATTTCAATAAAAAGGTGCAGTTCATTCACTTGGATGGGTGTGCTTTTTGTGAAGCCACCAGCTTTAAGTGAGCTGCTATTGTGTCCTTACTCTCCATTGCAAGAGAGGAATCTTTAAGGTGAGTGCAGTGCAAAGGAAACGTTCTCTCTAGGACTGAAGTTAATGAACCAGTAAAATGTGTTTTACAAAATAATTTCAATAAAAAGGTGCAGTTCATTCACTTGGATGGGTGTGCTTTTTTTGAAGCCACCAGCTTTAAGTGAGCTGCTACTGTGTCCTTACTCTCCATTGCAAGAGAGAGGAATCTTTAAGGTGAGTGCAGAGCAAGGGAAATGCTCTCTCTAAGACTGAAGTTAGCTACTGCAGACATCAACAGCTTTCCAGGCTGAAAGACCACAGTAGATCTAATAAGGTAGGCAGAGTGGAGCTTTCTGTACAAACTCTACCTCTTAGTCAGCTCTGTCTGTATTTTAGAAGAGAAATCAATGAGATTTCTGACATTCATGCATGGAATTTCCCTTATGAGGAGCAGCTGAGGGAGCTGGGGCTCTTGAGCTTGGAGCAGAGGAGACTGAGGGGTGCCCTCATTCCTGGGGATCCATTGGGAAAGGGCAGTGTCAGGAGGAAGGAGCCAGGCTCTGCTCTGGGATGGCCAATGCCAGGACAAGGGGCAATGGTCCCAAGCTGGAGCACAGGAGGCTCAAGCTGAAGATGAGGCCAAACTTTGTCAGTGTGAGGGTGGCAGAGCATGGCCCAGGCTGCCCAGAGAGGTTGTGGAGTCTCCCTGTGTGGAGACACCCAAAGCCCTGGCCGTGTTCCTGTGTGACTGCTCTGGTGATCCTGCTCTGGCAGGGGTTGCACTGGGGGAGCTCCAGAGGGCACTGCTTACTCCTGACATTCTGTGACTCTGTGAATTGTTCATACCACAGTACCATAGCAGACATACGTAGTCAGGTGTGTTTACTAGAAGCAGCAAGAATCATTTGCACTCCCATACGTGGTCTTTGTTTGCTAGGAAGTTTGTAGGGAAGTGACAAGATAAATGTTAGCTTTACATTTGATAAACTACACCAAAAGAGGAACTTTCTCAAGTTTTGTACCTACTTTCCAGTTTATTGTTCCAGAGAAACTGAAGGTGACCTCAGGAGATATGGGTGGTTATTTTATATCCATATTTTTTTCCCCAGAGAAGAGGACAGGACGAGCAGCTCTGGATGCAAGCCGTGCAGTGTGTGAGAAGAACGCCACTGGCAAAAAAGGGGGAGATGGAAGAGAAGGAGAAGACGAAAGGAGAAGTGGAAGAAAGAATAAAGTTCAGACTGGTGGGAGAGAGCATCACAGGAAGAACGACCGACTCGTTTCAAGTCACTCCTAGTGCAGTGCTGACAAGTTTTAGTGCCACTGTTTTAACACCTGCTAAGGTTAAAAGTGATCTAATTGGACGTGTTTTGAGAAACTACATCCAAAATACCTTTCTAAAATATGGCATATGAACTCAAGGATTATGCCATCAAAAACCTGCGTGTGTGGATGTATGCAAGTTAATGTCTTTAAATGTTTGCAGTTAGAAATACAGTGAACTTCAGATTGGTTTTAATGGTCTAAAAGGGGTCTTTTCCCATGTGCCTTGGATTGCAATCCTCTCACTGTTCCCTTGGGCATATCTCACCCCAGGGCTCATCTTTGTGGAAGCCAATGAAAATGTTTGTGCCAAGCTGTCACGAAGCTTTGGCACAAGTCGGAGCCTTTGACAACCATCACCAAAGGATTCTTTCCAGTACCCCACAGAAGTTGGCTGTGCTGTGGAAAGGAGGCAGGAACAGCTTTACCTTCCATCCTTTGCTGGACAGCTGTCAAATCCTCTTCTTGCCTCTGCTCGCCCTCATCAGGGACTTGAGAAAAGCCCCTGGGAGGGACCCTAGGCTGTGGTTTGGGCCTAAACTCCAGTTCAAACCTGGGGACAAAGAGATGACACCAGCATGGCCCACAGCACCACTGGCTCTTGCCGCTTGCTGCCATCACCTGCTCACCAGCAGATTTTGGCACTGCACAAAACCCTCTTCTTTTATCCCCAAGTGGACTACACCCCATTCCAGGGTACGGTCCTGGGAAATGGAGTCATCCTGCAGAGAAGGTCAGGCCATGATGGGAAGGAAGTGTGCACCTTTCCCATCAGATCTGCCTCACAGGAACGACCATGGGCTGGGGACATGTCACTGCCTGGTGCCCCCATGGCAGGACCCCTGTGGTGACACGGAGCAAATGCTACCAAACCACAGCTGAGCAACTGGAGGCTACATCTGCAGATGGACTCACTCAGGAAAGATGATGACACGGCTGGAAGATGTCAGCGAGACCAGAGGTACCACTGAGGACACCATCATGGCCAGCAGCTGGGGGATCTGCAACGAAAGAACACTACTTTCAAAAGTCTAAGTATTTATACTGAAAGGCTATATTAGATTAACACACAATATTATTTATATCCAGACTTGTGCAAAGCATTGAATGCTGTTCCACATTACTTCATGACATCCTGGTCTCTTAAGTCAGAGAGGCATGGATTTGATGGATGGATCACTCACTGGATAAGGAATTGGCTGGATGGTCACACTCAAAGGGTTGCAGTCAATGGCTCAATGTTCAAATGCAGACCAGTGACGAGTGGTGTTCCTCAGGGGTCGGTATTGGTGACACCACCAAGCTGGGTGGTGCAGTTGACAACGCTGGAGGGAAGGGATCCATCCAGAGGGACCTGGACAGGTTTGAGAGGTTGGTCCATTCACACTGCATGAAGTTCAGCAAGGTCCTGCACCTGGGTCGGGGCAATCCCAGGCTGAGTGGAGAACAGACTGAGACCAGCCCTGAGAAGGACATGGGGTGTTGGTTGATGAGGAGCTCAACAGGAACCAGCAATGTGGCCAACCCCATCCTGGGCTGTATCACAAGAAGTGTGGCCAGCAAGGCCAGGGAGCGACTCTGCCCCTCTGCTCTGCACCTGCAGTGCTGTGTCCAGCTCTGGAGTACCCAGCATAACATCTCTGAGCAACCTGATCTAAAGATGTCCCTGCTCACTGCAGGGGTTGGACTTGATGACCTTTAAAGGTCCCTTCCAACCCAACACATTCTGATTCTGTAAGGTCATGGAGCTGCTGGAGCAGGTCCAGAGGAGGCCACAGAGATGATCCGAGGGCTGGAGAGCCTCTCCTATGAGGCCAGGCTGAGAGAGTTGGGGTTGCTCAGCCTGGAGAAGGCTCCACGGAGACCTTAGAGCACCTTCCAGTACCTTGTAGGGTCCTACAGGAAAGCTGAAGAGGGACTTTTTACAAGGACATGGAGTGATGGGAGAAGGTGCAATAGCTTTAAACTGGAAGGGGGGAGATTTAGACTGGATATCAGGAAGAAATCCCTCCCTGTGAGGTGGTGAGGCCCTGGCCCAGGGTGCCCAGAGAAGCTGTGGGTGCCCCCTCCCTGGCAGTGCCCAAGGCCAGGTTGGACGGGGTTTGAGCAGCCTGGGCTGGTGGAGGTGTCCCTGCCCATGGGGGTTGGACTGGGGGGTTTGAGGTCCCTTCCAACACAAACCATGCTGTGATTCCATGACTTTCACCTGACATTTCAGTTTCTAGTGTTGCTTGCATGGTAGAGTATTAATCGTTAGTGCTATATCTGACAGCACAGTGGATTGTAAAACCTTGTATGACGCAAGATGCAGTAGCTTCTTTATTTAAGCCAGTGTTTTAGAATGACATTATGAGTTCTCAGAGGGCTGCTACAGAGGAAAAGTGTAACTGTAGCCATCCCAATACCCTTCCTGTTGCAAGTTAAGAGAAAATATTAAGTATCTTCCTTATAAGATCTGTTCTTCAATGGTGAGATATTCTTGCATAAAGACAAGTGCTGTATTCATAACTCACTGGTTTACTATGGTGTTTCTGAAAACAAAAATGAACCAAAAACCTAACCCCAAAAAACCAAAACCAACATTCTGCCTAAAGATGTTACTTTTTAGTGTACACCTTTCTTATAGTTTGTTCCTCAGTGCTAGAAAGTTACCATGGTTTATATATCAGCTGGTAACACTTTGTCTTCAGTCTCCTGGAAGAAATCTTTTCACTGAAGTGATGACTTCAACAATCCGCTGAGGAGATCACTGAAGTCTTCACCAGTTATATGATTAGTCCTTAAGAGTAACGTGTAATTCCTCAAGGAACACATAAAACCAGTTTACTTTTCAAGACTAGAAAAATCTGGTCCTCCTTTGCTGTAATTTCCAGAGATTTCTGCCCCACTGAAGTCAAATCCAGGATTCTGGAAAAAAGAAATGTTTAATGGATAGATTATTCGTAATAAATGCATCAACAAATAAACCTCAAATTATCATAGTTTGGCCTACTACTGCTGAAGTGACTTTGGAATGCTGTTTTCAACTTGGCAAGCAGTTAGATCTCCCAGTAAAGAAATAATAAGGAAATAATTTCTGGCTTCTGGTGTCCCTTGAAATGACTGAAAATTTAAGTGCCTGCCATGCTGGATAACAAGTTTCATAGAAATGATGTTCTCGGTTGCAGTACGTAGGGTGCCGATTCAGCTGGTAAGTAATAATTTGTCACTCTACAACTCTGCAAACTTGCATTAGGAGTAGCTGTATACTAAAGGTGTACCAAAACAACTTAAGCCATTTAAGTAAAAGGGCAAGGAAAAGATTTTCCAACTATTCTACATCATCTGATGTTGTAAACAAACAAATTCATTAGAGCTTGGTGTTAGAAGCTTGTTGTAAATACGTCTGCTTCCTAGTTCTGGATAGTAATAGAAATTGCATGTATCCACTTGACTTTCTGTGTCATGAGCGTTTTCCAGTTATTGCACTACAGGGTATGGTTCCACGGCACTGGACAGCAGAACATTTCTGCTCAGCTTCCACGTGCAAACGTGAAATATAAGGAGTAAGTCAGGTCCTTTAACTCGCCTCTCTTTGGAATCGCTCCAGTGTAAGTTTCCTTTGCATCTGGTCCTGCACCCAAGGATCAGCAGTATATTCGTTTTCTAACAGAGATGTCCAACAGTTGCCAGCATCTCGATTTGTCTTCATTAGAACAATTCGTATCAGCTTCCTGTCTTCTGTTGAACGAAAACAGACACAAAGCAAGCATTAAACTCAGTCCTACGTGCTCCTCTTTTTCGTAGTTTTGGTGAATTCACCACTAACAAGCGCTGGATTTTGTTGGTTTCATGCAAATGCCAACAGGGTTATGGATAAATAAACAGTAACAAGAAACAGAAAGGCTGAAGCAAAGCCAGCCTACACAGCCATCTCTCCCCTTCCCTGTTTTAAGGGATTAAAACAGAGCTCCTAAGTACTTCTGCTGCAAACAAACTAACTTTGGAGAGGTTCACAACAGAGAAAAGATTCAATCTAATAATGTACACAGCTCAGCTAAGCAGTAATGAAGGATTTGCAGTCATTACCAATAAAAGCCAGAATGGAGTTTTAGTGACATATGGAGGTATAACCAATTTATTTAAACACAGTCAGTGTGCCCATTGCCAATATACTGGAAGCCCATTTCAAAGTTAACATGTAGGGTGTTTAGTTCCACTTAATTGAATAAATACAGCTTTGTAAAGTGTATTTTGAAGATTATCTGCATACTGGAAAAGAGTACTCACCTCCCAATGTTTGTTTACACTTCCAGTTTTCATGTGCAAGTTACTAAATTATTAATATTTAGAATAGTGAATGAAAAACAAAATCCATCACATGAAAACATATAAATGAGAGGCACAGTCCACAAACATGATTGCCAAAACCCCAAAATATTCTGAACACTTTACAATATTTATGATGTAACTATCAGAGAAGCTTTTTTTTGCTCATTATCCGTAGGCACTTTGGTGTGATTTTTAGATTGCTTTTTGAGTCTCGTGGACTGCAGCTTTTGTCACCCATCTCAAAAATAAAATGCGTAAGAGAAGGAATAAAACCAAGAAAATAACATCTGTGGAGAGCACAGACCACATAACTGTGCTGTAACTGCTGAGCTTTAACGATGGTTTGCATAAAACTCCTCCCTATGCAGATGTGACTTCTCTGTGACCGCTGCCTTCGCAGACACAGCATTTTGCCATTGACCTTCATCTCTGCAGCGTTTGTGTTACCTCAGTTCCCTGGTCTGGCAATGAGGGTTGTCTTTTACACAGAGCTATGCAGAGTAGTTTTTCCCATTAAAAACAAGGGGTAAACTCTTCTGCAGCGTATTCTGAGAAGTTCTGCTGCCTTCACAATGTCAGTGAGATGCAGGTTATTACCTAACGTCCATGTTCCTTCATCAGTTATTGTAGAGTCAAAAAGTTTACCCTGCAAAAGACATGTACAATATTACACAACAGGAAAACCTGTTCAATATCCAGGCCATATTTAATTGTGAAGTTTTACTCCAACCTACCTTATTTTTGACTCAAAATGAATAGGATACCCTGGCTCCACAAGTATAGGCTTGCAAATAGACTATAAAAGAATTACTTTTTGTTACACAACTGTTTGGGTTTTGTTTGGTGGGTTTTTGGTCTTGGTTTTTTGTTTCTCTGTTTGTTTTTTGTTCTGTGGGTTGTTTGTTTGGTTTTGATGATGCATTTAATACAGTAAAAATGCTGTCACTGTTTCAGTATCTCAGTTCCTGGATAGGGTTTGTGTATCTCAAAAGGCAATGCCATTTTTAACAATCTTGCAAGGAAAATGCCTGCCTTTTTGCTAAGGGTGGTGCAAAATATATGCATTATGCTACAAAGAACTGTTCGTTACCAATGTGAAAGCAAATCTGCTCTTGATCTGGTTTTTTTTTTTGGCTTTCAGCAGTGAGTGAAGCTATGCATTTAAACACTGCCCAAATCACTGCAAAACAAGAATGCAAATCCACGTGAATTTCACAGAATCACAGAATATGAGGAGTTGGAAGGGACCTGGAAAGCTCCCCCAGTGCAACCCCACCAGAGCAGGATCACCAGAGCAGTCACACAGGAACACGGCCAGGGCTTTGGGTGTCTGCAGACAAGGAGACTCCACAACCTCTCTGGGCAGCCTGGGCCATGCTCCATAACCCTCACACTGACAAAGTTTGGCCTCATCTTCAGCTTGAGCCTCCTGTGCTCCAGCTTGGGACCATTGCCCCTTGTCCTGGCATTGGCCATCCCAGAGCAGAGCCTGGCTCCTTCCTCCTGACACTGCCCTTTCCCAATGGATCCCCAGGAATGAGGGCACCCCTCAGTCTCCTCTGCTCCAAGCTCAAGAGCCCCAGCTCCCTCAGCCGCTCCTCAGCAGGAGATGCTCCACTCCCTCCAGCATCTCTGTGGCTCGGTGGACTCTTTCAAGCAATTTGTTGTCTTTATTCTTCCCACCGTCTCTAAAAGACTGTGCAGTTCCAGGGAAGTGTTTCTAATAAGGCTCATCGTTAATTTCGGAAAAATCTAGATATTCAAAGAAGAAGAAGAAAAAAAAGGGCGATACTGCCTTGTGGTCTTTGCCCCCTGTGGGACTCAGCGGGGCCTTGTCCAACGTCCGCTCCCTCACCCCGCGGCACCCTCAGCCGCC